TCTTTACGCGTTTTTGTGTTTTTTGATCCTTGGGGTGCGCTCCGGACTGCAGCCCCATCCCCATCATGACATTGTCCTCTTGACCCTGAAGCTGTCTGACTCCCTCTGCAAGCCATGGCTACCTTTCACAGTCACTTTGGCAGCATCTGACTTTGGCATATATGTCAAAATACCGTCACACCATCAATTTGGTTCTACCAACCCACTACGACCAAGAGATAGAGGAGAAGGCTGAATCCTTCAGCACATTTTCCTCATTTAACGGTCTTCTAAATTCATTGTCTTCTCTTCGGATGAAATCGTATAACAAATGAAAGTCAAATGCATGCGATGCATATGCCAAATAATTTCATTCATGTGTCAGTCGTGGATTCTGTTGGGTTCAGAGGTGTTGTGGAGTGGATACAGCTACCCTCTTTTATCCCATCTTGCAAAAGATTCATTTTTTGCATGTACATAACGAGGCTGCTATATTGAAATATGGAAAAATCGCCCCTCATTATACAATGTTCTTGCTTTGAATTAAATAGTCTGCATTGGCTAAAAGTATTTTACTTTGCCTGTTTTCGAGAAACAAAAATCATTCCCCTTTCTGTTTTACTAATCAGAACATTTTTACCATGCACCCACCCCCCGCCCACCCCTCATTTGCATGCCTTTTTTTATGGTGAATTATGGTCTTTTCTGTTTGCCTTGTTTAAACAAAAAAAAAAAAGTGCAACAGGATTTGAATTTGCACTCACTGGGCACTCTCTTAGGTACCCTTATACATTCCCCGCATATGTGATCAAACTGTATGAATAAATCTTTGAATTTTTAATATTATTACAATTATACAAAATCAATTATATAACTTATAACATGGGACAACATAAAAAAAATTATACTATGCCACATTGTAAAGGAGTCAGTGTATAACTTGTTTAAAACAGTGTAAAGTTACTGTCCCATCAAAAAAAAAAAAAAAATTACACAGCCATTAAAATGGAAGTCAAGTCAAAAATATTCTTTACACAATATGTTCTATGCGCCCTACACACACACACACACACACCGCCTATTTTAATGAAAAATCTTTTACAATCTTTTGCCACATAGGGTCCCCATTCAGCAATACACTTGACATTGGAACTCAAAATTTGCCCAGGCTAAGTATAATTTGGGGATTACCGGCAACTGTGTATGAGAAGAGTAAAGTAAGAACATACCACTTAATACTGCCATTCTAAATAACTGCAAAATCAAATAATACTTGAGCGTCAATTAAAAGTAAGCATTATTACCTTTGTGTACCTAATAAAGTATCCAGTGAGTGCGTGTTTTGCACTGCGCTCTGTCCCCTCTCAGCCAGATGGTGACCGTAATAACATTAAGCAAGTCCTTCCCTGGCTGAATTGCGGACAGAAACAATAATGCATACATAGCATGAGCAAATATAAATCCTGGAAGAGTTTGAACCAGGTGTGTCAAACGTGTGACTGCTGTGACGTGCATGCTGCTGTTGTCCAGCCCAGCATGGCAAAGACTGGCGTCATACCGTAGAGCAGCATGGCCAGAGAATGAGGGAGATGGAGACATGTAGGAAGCAGACAATGCTGGACAGATGTGTGGACTGTTTAACCTTCTAACTGCTGAACTGTATTGAAAAGAACAAAACAAATGACCTGCATCTCGGCGTGCAGTTCTTCAGCTTGCGCTCCTAACAATGACGGCTGTATCTATCTTCACAGGGGGACGGAATACATCAGATCAGAGAGGCGCTGAAGATCTTAGCTGAGAGGGTTTTAATCCTCGAGACTATGATCGGTATTCATGGTGAGTAGGAGGCCTGAGGCAGGGTCAGTTTAAGGCAGGGGTCAAGGTAGGGGGCTCCATCTGGCACTACACTTTACCGATTGGGACAGGGAGTGGCAACAGTCACGAGCAGCCCCCCCAGGACTCAGGCTGGTGTTTCCACACCCCCCCTCACGCAGCCCCCTTCCCTGTCACTGCTCTCTGATAGGACTTTAGCTTGCAGATGTTCCGCGACTTGCAGGCTGATCTTGAGCTTCTGGCTCGTAGGGTGACGCTGCTGGAGGCTATCATCTGGCCAGGTAATGATGAGACATCCTCACCTACAGCTCTGATGGCCCTCAAACAGACACACACGCGCAAAAAAAAAAAAAAAAAATCTAGAAAACCTAGGGAGTGCTGGAAACATGTCATGACATGACAAAATCTTACTGAACTGCGGAACATTGATGTAGCTGCTTTAAAGTCGATTTTTTTTTTTTAAATAGAATTGCAATTTTTATAATCAAGCAAAGATACTGCTTTTAATTCATGAAAATCAATGTGCTGTGTGGGTTAACGTGTTTCGGTTGTATCTAATGTGCTAGTCTGGAGAGTAGCGCTGCAACATTTAGTTTTTATTATCTCTCAAATTAAATTATTTTAGTCTTGAGACTGTCATTAACTTGAAATGCTTGGTCACAACCACTACCCCACCAGATATGTTGATTTGTCATACTTTCCATGACACATTTGAATGAAAGCACAATTCAGATGTACTGTACTGTACTTGCGCTTCCTAGTGGGGAAGTTGGTGAACACACTTTCATCCACCTTTGAACTTTGACTTCTTCAGTATTTATCAGGAATGACCCTTTTTGGATCCAGTTAGATCTAAAGAAAATCTCAATCATGGACAAACTCTCATCCTAAAATGTCTGGTGGGATACCATAAAAAAATGTATCACTTTTTTCTGCAGTTCTGAGTATTGTTGATATCTGATGAAAAGCATGTATGTCTTTTTTTTTCTCTTTCTGTTCACCTCGCACCTCAAAACGTCTTTCCCGACAATATCTTTTTCAGAACACCACATCTTAAAAACACCAAAAACTCATCTGTACATTGACATACACGCTTTTCCTTTGGACAAAGGATGATAAGAACAACAGCATTTGGCACTGAGCAATTCTCTGTGCTAGCGTACTGACTGTTAAGTGTTGTTGCAGTCCCGCTCACCAGACACACACTTTGTTGCAGGTTCTATCAGCAACGAGACTTGATTGACAATAAACCGATGTAAAACTGTGTGTCAGATCAAATTGCGGGCATACTTGTAATAATTCTAGTTAAAAAAAAAAAAAAAACTTAAGTGAGACGACGGCGTGCATGTGGTCAAACACAGTGTTGGGCAGGGAGGCCCTGTTCCAACTGCTGTCTTTCTTCAACAGAACCTGATCTAGGCTCTGGGGATGGACCATTTGGCACAGCCTCCCCTAGTTTCTACAGAGATAAGCGAGCAGGTGCGCTTCCGTATCGACCTGCTTCTCTTCGGTCTTCCGACACCAAGGTTCAAGGGAAGTAGCCCCCCTCCCCCACACTCCCTGAGGACTGCAGGCTGAGTTAGGCCTCCCCTTCCGATAGGTCGCATCACTTAATTGAGAGCCTTTTTGAGGGGGCTTTCCTGTCAGATTTAGGTTGGGGGACACCTCAGGGAAATGCCAATGATAACTCCACCATGTCCTCCTCGCCTGTAACGAGTTTGACACCCCCTATCACCATAACCACTTCCAGCTGCAGCTCCGTGGGTCTTACACGTTTGGCAAGAGGAAGCTCTGAATTACCTGTGGTGCTCCTCAGGTCACAAATCTTGGCAATAAGGGTCATTTAGCTTCATCCGTTTGTGGGGATGTAACAGAACGACTAGCCTTGAGTTTGTCATTCTTTTTTTTTTAATGTAACAGCAATGTCATGAGATCTCATGAGCATGTACAATTTCTTGGACGACACAGAAAACCTCTAATCATTTTGTTGTAACTCTTATATTGCTAAACTCAGTTAAGATGTAGTGCACTAAAAACACAAGTCATCACTACTATTACTGAGATGTGTTGCTATATGTGAGCGTGATGTGTGTTACAATTAAAATACACACTGAAAAAGTATATTACAACATATTTACATTTGTTGCATAGCCTATGATCCAGTGGAGTTTATTTCATCCTGAAAATTATTTAGGAAAAAAAAAACTCAACACACAGGAAAAGGCTAAACTGGAACCACTGTTATGTTGGTGCTGTCCTAAGAAGACCTTTTTTTTTTCATCGTAAATCAAACTTATTGTGAACGTATTTAAAATTGTCAGTGGTAGTTTGTCTTGTATGCCGTCGTATAACAACTTTTGAATTTTTATTTCTTGCAAATGTGTTAAGAGTTGATACAACCCTGTCTCCTGATGATCGCTGTAATAAAACGCTGTTCACTGTTTTTTTTTTTAAAACATGTTACATCCCTTTGTGTCACTAAAGAATGTTAACGTCAATATTAGACATTCAATATCGGGTTGGGCATACTTAGCAATGAATTCATTCATTAACTGATGTTTTCTTCTGTTGATTTTAGACCAAAAAATTTGATTTTCTTGATTCGAATAAGTACATTGTTTGCACCAGATTATCTTTTGTGAAACTATCATATCATTTGATTATTTTGAGGGAAAAAAAGGGGGGGCATTACATAAATTTACCACATTTTACTTATGTGCAACCAAACATTAAGTACCTGTACCTTTTTTTGTGTGGCACTGGTGAGTACCCCCTTTTTAAAAGTAGAAAACCACTTTATATTTATTCCTCAGAGAACAAAACAATACAGTTGATGATTAGACTTGTGGCTGGATTTTGAATTTTGATTTATATTTCATCTAAAATGTAGCTCTGCTAGATTTTCAGTCGCATGTTGTTATTTAAGCAACATTATATGAATTTGATAAATTCCAAATTTGCGTGAACACACAAAAAAAATCGTAATTTGCCATCAGTGACCCGCACAAGTGCATGAAAATATTGATTCTGAAAGGGAACTCGGGGTAGATCATTTCTTGAAGCAAAGGAGGCAAAATTTAGTGCCCTCCGTGGCTCGGGGCCAACTAGTTTGTGGTCTTAAGATGAACATGACGGCTAACCACAATAACAATTTGAACGGCGTAGTCGTTGAACAAACGTAGTCAAACTCCCATCCCTTGTCTGAAATCATGTGAAAGAGTTTATTTCAGAGAAGGAATAAAAATGCAATGTCGAGTTTGCTGTATGAAGGCCAACAGTTTTTCAGTCTCCATGTCAGTTTTGAGTCAACTCAGGGCTTTTGAGTGGGGTAGTCTTCTTCCCCTTTGCTGTCACCACAGCCTGCTCTCCAACACGGTTGTCGATGAGTAAGGAAATAGCGCCATCCAGCTGTTTTGATGCTGCAAGCGCCACTACAGCTTTTTCTGTGGGGAAGCCCATCTTCTCCAGTTGCTGGAGTCTTGGGGAAAACATTGTGGTCATCATTCCGCCAAATCATAAAGCATCATCGTGTATATGAAAGATACGACTTTTTGTAGTTACCAACCTCAGGGCAGAAACAGAGGATTTTGGCACCTCTACTTTTCGATTCACTTCCTCTGGGACATCCTGTAAGGAGGCAAGTATTCCAGCCCTCAGCATCTGTTCTTCCACCACCTCTGCTTCAGACTCTGGCCTCCAACCAGACAGTGGCTCCTCCCACGGATGGTGGTTCAATGATAAGGGGGCACTCATGGGAGATGGTGTTGCATGATCTTCATGCATAAACTGAGAATATGATCTGGAATTTGAGAGGGAATGTACAAAAATAAAACAACGTAATTATAGTGAAGGTCAGTGTGACAATGGAATGGATGGAAACAAGATGACTCGTACATTTGTGAGGAGCTGTAGGTTGGCAATCTCAGTCTGGATGAAGTGAGAATATACGCTGAAGTGGGAATGAAGGTTAGGACATAGGCTTTCTCCAGCTCCTGTAACATCCCAATGAGGCTGGGACTATCTGAAAGGTTAATTAAGTATCACAAGAAGAGACTGGAATTTCCAAAGCACCTTCAAGCTTCCTGGGAATCATTAACTTCCTCAGAGTAGTTACAAATTGCAACCAATCCTTTTGATTGGTTGCAATTTGTCACTTTGTCAAATACTGTACAATTTGGTTGTAATTCAATCGTAATAATTCTTAATGGTGGAATTTGTTGTAATTGTTTCTTGAAATGGCAAAATAAATGTTGTGCACTTCTTGAAGGACAACATGGCATCAGCTAGAGGAAGGTGAGCTACATTCAGGCAGACCTCTACTAGTGCGCAACTCTTCAACACAGCGTATTTTACTGAATACAACACTGACATTGAAACAGGAGTTTAGCACCTTCAAAAGGGCACGATAAAATCTATCCATTTATCACTTATCTTTGTTAGGATTAGTTGGCGACTATCCTAGCTGACTTCGGCAAGAGGTGGCACACCCTGGAATTGTGCATGGATTGGCCAGCCAATTGTACGGCACATACAAACAACCATTCACACTTACAATCACACTTATTGATAATTTGGTGTCTTCAATGAACTTGAAAAGCATGCTTATGCAGTGTGGGAGGACTCTGGGTGACATGGAGGAGCCCCAACCTCAGAACTGTGAAGTGGATGTGCTCAGGACTGGTCCAACATGCCACCTCACAGGCTCACACTAAAATATTCTTACATATTACATAATTCAGTTCATATTCAAACAAGGATACAATTATGAGCGATGCATATGGCACAGAAGTTAAGTAGGGCAGGTGTCCCGGGCACCACGATCAGACAAAGCAGCAACAGCAACCAGGGCAGAATCCAAACTGGCAAGCAGCCCTGCAGTCGCCTTTTTGTCACGTGACGGCACTGGGCTGTAAACAATGCCAGCTGAATGGCAGCATAGCCACACACTCGACTGGCCTCAAGACTGAAGACAAAGATGACCAATGTGTAAATAAGAGGTAATACGGTCATTGTCAGGGTGGCGAGGCCAAGGTATGCGACTGTTCCCCAGAGACGCTCTTGACGTGGTCCGAACAGCAGCAGCAGAGAAACGCTGACGAGCAGAGAAGGCAAATCGTCATGATTGAGAGCGTACAGGAACACGTCTAGAAGAAACAAGGTTTGGTTGATAATTAACTGTTTGCTACGAATTATTACAGGAAACCCGTATTCCGTTTGTGAATTGATACCTCTGAAACGTGGAAAGTGTCCACCTGGACCTAAACTGAGACTCGTTTGGGGACCTGCAGCATACACCATCAAGATGAGCGCTACCAGGAGGGTTGTCCCGAGAAAGAATCCTGGACGACCTGAGCCGAGCCATACTGAAAATACACGATAACGCATGACCTAAATGACTTGATTGTTCTTCTTTTCCCCCTTTGAGCTACGCTGGTCCGTTCGTCTGGATGAAGTGGCCATTATTTCGTTTTTGATCGCAGGGAATCGACACTCGTTGTACTATAACTAATATATTCGTTTGAGCCTGTATAGTATCCATGTGTTGATAAGACGTCAAAAAATGATGCTCCGAAACAAACAGTATAAATCGAAAGCCTCTTATACAGTATTGTTTATGCTTACTTCTGCCTGACGTCATATAACACGCTTCTTCGCGAGCAGTTGACAGAGTATGATACTGCCACCTATTGGACAGACTGAGAGTTTCAGGGAAACACAAGTTGCATCCTTACTACTGTACTGCACTGTTAAATACTGTGCTCTACTGTGTTGTCATGGGGATAGTGGACAGGTGGGGGGGGGGGGGCATGGGATATGC